TTGACCAGGATGGTCTCGATTTCTTGACCTAGTGATCCGCCCGCCTCGGCCTCCCAAAGTGCTGGGATTACAGGCGTGAGCCACCGCGCCCGGCCCACAGAATATTTTTTGTTGGCAAAAATGACCTAGAACTATTGTTTACTCCAGCTCTCTTCTGATTAGTAAAAAGGAAACATAAGTAAAAAATTTTAAATAGCTATTGTTAAATGACTACAAAAGGTAACTGTATTCTAAGTAGCTTGCTTTATTTTTAAAGAAAAGTTTCGGGCTGGGCGCGGTGGCTCACGCCTGTAATCCCAGCACTTTGGGAGGCCGAGGCGGGTGGATCACGAGGTCAAGAGATCAAGACCATCCTGGTCAACATGGTGAAACCCGTCTCTGCTAAAAATACAAAAAATTAGCTGGGCATGGTGGCTCGTCCTGTAATCCCAGCTACTCAGGAAGCTGAGGGAGGAGAATTGCCTGAACCCAGGAGGCGGAGGTTGCGGTGAGCCGAGATCGCACCATTGCACTCCAGCCTGGGTAACTGCGTCTCAAAAAAAAAGTTTCTTCTCCATAAAGTTTATTTTCATTTATTTTGTAAGAAATAAGGAGATGACATAAGAAACAAAATTAAAATATGAATAAAAGTTTGGCCACTTTTGCATAATGAAAACAAACATTTTCAGTTCTATAAATGTTCTGGTTCACTGTCAGGCCTTAAGCATAAGCCAGGTGTTTGTATTTCTAACTGTGAGGGGGTTTTGTTTTTGCTGTTTTATGACCATTATGTCTGTGTCAGCCTGAAGGAGAAGCTGGGATTTTGCTTGCTTGCTTGTTTTTTCCTGATCAGTGGATAAGAATGCTGAATTTTGGGAATGTATTTTTAACAGTGACATTTTTCAAGCAGTTCATACAAGAGACAGTATACTGTAGTGCTTAAAATTGTGGTTGTCTGAGGCAGATGGCCTGATTTAAAATCCCAGTTCCATGAGTTACTAGCTATTGACCTTAGGCATTTCCTTTAACCTCTCCATTACATAGTTTCATCTATAAAAAGACCATACTAGTATCTACCTCATAAGATTATTATGAGGATTAACCAAATTTAATATTCGAAAGAGTTTAAAACAGTTCCTGATACATAGTAAATACTACCTGTTAGCTTTATTGTTACTATTCTTAAAATTAGATTTTCCCTAGATATAGCAAATATCCCTCAAGCACTGCAGACAGTGAAACAGATGACAAGCAAATCATATATAAAAGGAAATACAAGCCAGTAGGTATACATAATTTCAACAGAGCACTTTGTTGATTTTTCCAGAAACCTCGACCTTGAAGATGGTGAGTAGCCAGCCAAAGTACGATCTAATACGGGAGGTAGGCCGAGGTAGTTACGGTGTTGTGTATGAAGCAGTCATCAGAAAGACTTCTGCACGGGTGGCAGTGAAGAAAATTCGATGTCACGCACCTGAAAATGTTGAACTAGCTCTTCGTGAGTTCTGGGCACTAAGCAGTATCAAGAGCCAACATCCAAATGTGATTCACTTGGAGGAATGCATCCTACAAAAGGATGGGATGGTGCAAAAGATGTCCCACGGCTCTAATTCTTCCCTTTATTTACAGGTATGTGTTGTTGATTGGGAAATAGAAATGATTCGAACATGGCATTGGTCAGCAAGAGGAATGACAGGGTCAAACATTTCCCTTTAAATGCAGGTGTTTTGTAGTTAGAAGTAGATAAGTGTCTGCCAAGAATTGAGTAGATGTTTGCTTTAAAACAAGGTTTTATTTAAACCTGTGATGCACATACCTAAAAATAACATAAGCCACCTGTTATGCAATGGTACTTGCCAGTCTGCATAGGAATGGGGCAAGATAGGAGCTAGAGAAGTGCTTGAGACTACAGTCTAATAACTTCATTTCTTTGAAATCAATAATTCTGGACTTGACAGAAGAAAAGGAAAAACTCCACAACCAATAGCAACACCCTTAGGTAATTGGGCATCTCTTTTATAAATCGCTGGTTTGAATGTCAGCCTTTGCTGTTTTAGAGGGATATTTGGTTTCTTCACCATGCAATTCCAGTTAATTTTCATGAAGTACGTGGTTTAACACCTGAATGTTATTAACAGTGCTAATAGCTAACATTTGAATTCCCACTCAGTTCCATGCTCTGTGTTAAGTGCTTTAAAAGCAGTTGCTCAAAACAATCCTATGAGGAAAGGACTATTATTATCTTCACTACAAATGAAGAAACTGAGGCTTAGGATAGATAATGAATTTATCCAAAGTTACATACCTAGTAAGTGGTAGAATTGGGAGCTGGAGCTAAGACTGGCAGCTAAAGCTTATGCTCTCTTAACTTCCAAATTACTCTTCTGTAAACCTGGGTAAATGGAAAAGCTTTTCTGTTTTTCTTTTGTTGGCTTCTGTCAGAAATTTAAATCTCTAGTAGCTCTATACTCAAAGAATAAAAAAAGATATTAAGATATAGCTTGTTAAAGGTTAGGGCAAAATTTCTTTTTTTTTTTTTTTGGATAGAGACGGGGTTTCACCATGTTGCCCAGGCTGGTCTTGAACTCCTGAGCTTAGGCAGTCCGCCTGCCTCGTCCTCCCAAAGTGCTGGGATTACAGGCTTGAGCCACCACGCCTGGCTGCAAAATTTCTTAAAGCTAGTCATTCTTGGAAAAGAAAACAACTTTGAGTGCATCTAAATTCAGAATTTACCATGAGACTTTTGCCATTCAAAGTCTGCTTTTGGGCGGGGTGCTATGGGCTCATCACGCCTGTGAGACCAGCCTGGCCAACATGGCAAAACCCTGTCTCTACTAAAAAAATACAAAAATTAGCCTGGCATGGTAATGTGCAACTGTAATCCTAACTACTCAGAAGGTTGAGGCAGGAAAATCTCTTGAACCCAGGAGGCAGAGGCTGCAGCAGGCCGAGATGACACCTTTGCATTCCAGCATGGGGGACAGAGCGAGACTCTGTCTCAAAAAAAAAAAAAAAAAAAAAAGGCTCTTTTGGCTAGGTGCAGTGGCTTACACAACACTTTAGGTGGCAGAGGCAGGAGGCAGGAGTATCACTTGAACCCAGGAGTTCAAGACCAGCCTGGATAATATAGCGAAACCTCATCTGTGCAAAAAAAAAATTTTTAGGTGTGGTGGCATGCACCTTATAGTCCCACCTACTTGAGAGGCTGAGGTGGAAGGATTGCTTGAATCCAGGAGGCAGAGGTTGCAGTGAGCTGACATTGTGCCACTGCACTGCAGCCTGGGTGACAGAGCAAGATTCTGTCTCAAACAAAACCTGTTTTTAAAAGAAGAAAAGCTTTTGGAGTAGGAACAACAAAACAAATACATGAATGTATATATTAAGAAACTTGCAAGTTTCTCTGTATGATGAGCAAATATTAGTCTTGAGAATTTAATTTATATTACAATTTAGCACTCTGTGCCCTGAAGTTATTATTATTATTTTTTTTGAGATGGAGTCTTGCTCTGTTGCTCAGGCTAGAGTGCGGTGGTGTGATCTCGGCTCACTGCAACCTCCACTTCCCAGTGATTTTCCTGCCTCAGCCTTCTGAGTAGTTGGGACTAAGGTGCCTGCCACCACACCCAGCTAATTTTTTTATGTTTTGTTTGCTTTTCTAAAAGTGCTTATTATGTAAGTTGAATTGATAGAAAATATTGGAAACATTCTTACTCTGTTTCCTCTTAAAAGTGGATAGAGGCTGGGCACGGTGGCTCACACCTGTAATCCTAGCACTTTGGGAGGCTGAGGCAGGCAGATTACCTGAGCTCAGGAGTCTGAGACCAGCCTTGGCAACATGGTGAAACCCCATCTCTACTGAAATACAAAAATTTAGCCAGGCATAGCGGCATGTGCCTGTATTCCCAGCTACTTAGGAAGCTGAGGCAGGAGAATTTCTTGAACCTGGGAGGCAGGGATTGCAGTGAGCCAAGATCACACCTCTGCACTCTAGCCTGGGTGACAGAATGAGACTCCATCTCCAAAACAAAACAAAAACAAACAAAAAGGGGGATAGAAAGCCCAACATGGTGGCTCACGCCTATAATTCCAGCACTTTGGGAAGCTGAAGTCAGTGAATCACTTGAGCTCAGGAGTTCAAGACCAGCCTGGGCAAAATGGCGAAACCCCATCTCTACAAAAAGTACAAAAAGTTAGCCAGGTGTGGTGGTGCACACCTCTGGTCCCAGCTGTTTGGGAAGCTGAGGTGGGAGGATCACTTGAGCCCAGGAGACAGAGGTTGCAGGAAGCCTAGATTGGGCCACTGCACTCCAGCCTGGCGACAGAGCCAGACCCTGTCTCAGAAAAAAAAAGTGGATAGAACTTTGCCAAACTTTACATTTAGTTTTAGAGATTAAGATGCATGATCTCTTTTGAAGTAGAAAAGCAAATATATTTAAACAAGATTTATTAGCTGAGCATGGTGGCATGCACCTATAGTTCTAGCTACTCAGGAGACTGAGGCAGGAGGATTGCTAGAGTCCAGTTCAAGACTGCAGTGAGCCATGATTGCACCATTGCACTCTAGCCCAGATCATGGAGTGGGACCCTGTCTCAAAAATAAATAAATAAACATATTATTTAGTGCTGAGTCCAGATCCAGCAGTTGTTATAGTAACTAGGCATTAGCTCATAAAGTTTTTTTTTCTTTTCTTTTTTTTTTTGAGACAGTCTTGCTGTGTCACCAGGCACCAGGGTGGAGTGCAGTGGCACGATCTCAGCTCACTGCAACCTCTGCCTCTCAGGTTCAAGCAATTCTCTTGCCTCAGCCTCCCAAGTAGCTAGGACTACAGGTACACGCTACCACGCCCAGCTAATTTTTGTATTTTTTAGTAGAGACGGGGTTTTACCATGGTCTCGATCTCTTGACCTCTTGATCCACCCACTTTGGCCTCCCAGAGTGTTGGGATTACAGGCGTGAGCCACTGCACCTGGCCTCATAAAGTTTTAAGATGTAAGGGCCTACCAGACTTGATATCGTGATTTTGTTTTTTAATTTATTATTTTTTTTTTTTAAAAAAGACGGGGTTTCACCATGTTGGTCAGGCTGGTCTTGAACTCCCAGCCTCAGGTGATCTGCCCGCCTTGGCCACCAAAGTGCTTGGATTACAGGCGTGAGCCACCGTGCCCGACTTTTAGTGATTCTTTCTATCTAAAGCACCTTTTTGTTAGTAAATCTCTTTCATCTTTTAAAGCCTGATAGACCTGTGTTTCCCTTGTGATACTTTTCGCTAGCTGAATGACCTTGGGTAAATAACCCAACTCTTCCTAGCATCTGTTTCTTCATATTTAAGATAAGGTGTAATAATATCTACTTTTTATAGGAGTTGTCAAAATTAGAGATGTTGCAGAAGCAATACTTGGTACATGCGAGTACTCAGTAATTGGTATCTCTATTAAAATTGTCTTTTCTGTGGATTTGTTTTGTTGTCCAGACATTCATCAATACATTTAGCAAGTGCCTTCTCTAAATTTACATCTAGTAAAGACATCCAATATTTACATTTAGTAAAGACAAATCTGTAGTATGACTAGAGTCCCTATGCATAGTATTCTCCATACAGATTTTAATTTTTCTCCATGTTTTTCCAGATGTCTGCTTCCTTGTTCTTGGTTGGAAGCATTAAATCAGTTCCTGATAGCCAAAAGCCTCACCTAGAAGAAAATGTAAAACAAATAACAGAGGTTACAATCTCATGCGTAGGAACCTAGTGGCCAGTCTGTATACTTATGGTAAATGTCATGAATGAGAAGTACAGGATGCACATAACAGGGAAACCTACATAATCCTATGGTTTGAGAGTTACGAATTGTTGGGTGGGTGCAGTGGCTTACACCTGTAATTCCAGCATTTTGGGAGGGTGAGGCAGGTGAATCACTTGAGCTCAGAAGTTCATGATTAGCCTGGGCAATGTGGTGAAACCCTATCTCTATAAAAAATTTTAAAGATTAGCCAGGCAGGCTGGGCTTGGTGGCTTATGCCTATAGTCCCAGCACTTTGGGAGGTCAAGACAGGCATATCACGAGGTGAGGAGTTCAAGACCAGCCTGGCCAACATAGTGAAACCCTGTCTCTACTAAAAATAGAAAAATTAGCTAGGTGAGGTGGCAGGTGCCTGTAGTCCCAGCTACTCGGGAGACTGAGGCAGGAGAATCACTTGAACCCAGGAGGCAGAGATTGTAGTGAGCTGAGATTGCACCACTGTACTCCAACCTGGACAAAAGAGCGAGACTCCATTTCAAAAAAAAAAAAAAATTAGCTGGGCATGGTGGTGCACACCTGTATCTCAGCTACTCAGGAGGCTGAGGCAGGAGGATCCCTTGAGCCTGGGAGGTTGAGGCTACAGTGAGCCATGATTGTGTCACTGCACTCCAGCCTCGGTGATAGAGCAAGACCTTGTCTCTCTCTCTCTCACACACACACACACACACACAATATATATATATACACGCGTGTGTGTGTGTGTGTGTGTGTATTAGTAGTGTGAAGAGGAGTTAGCTAGATAAGTGAGAACAATTTCCTAGGCAGAAAAAAACTACATACAAAGGTCTTGAAGCAAACGGCATGAAGCATTTAAAAATTGAGAGAAGGTAGTGAGATAGTGAGAGTTGTTTTAGGTGAGGCTAGAAGGGTCAGCAGGAGTCAGAGCACTCAAGATCTCATACCCATGTTAAAGAACTTAGATTATATCCTAAGAGAACAGGGAAGCCATTGAAGGGCTTTAAGTAAGGGAAACCAATGGCTAACATCTTCTGCATGTTAAAATAAGCAGGTTGGACGCTGCATTTCCATAGCTCTCAACCAGAGGCCCCGTGGCCTGTTTTCATATGGTCTGAATGGCCTGTTTTCATATGGTTTCGATGCTAAAAATAGTTCTTATATTTTTTAAGACTTGTGGGGGAAACAAAAAGGCAAGGAAGAAGTATATGGTATTTATATATACACGTGTGTATGTGTGCTGTCAAGCCTAAAGTATTTACTGTCTGGCCTTACTCTAAACCATTCTTTGAATGCTGGGACTCTGCATTGCTGAAAGCTATTTAGGAAGTTCGCTTTTGAGAGTAAAGACAGGGCCGGGTGCAGTGGCTCACAACTGAAATCCCAGCACTTTGGGAGACTAAGGCGAGTGGATCACCTGAGGTCAGGAGTTCGAGACCAGCCTGGCTAACATGGCAAAACCCTGTCTCTACTAAAAAATACAAGAATTAGTTGGGCATGGTAGCGCATGCTTGTAATCCCAGCTACGGGGGTGCTGAGGCAGGAGGATTGCTTGAACCTGGGAGACAGAGGTTGCAGTGAGCTGAGATCCTGTCACTGCTCTTCAGCCTGGGCAGCAGGGTGAGACTCCAGCTCAAAAAAAAGTGAGTAAAGACATCAGTGCGCCTGGTAAATAATTATGTGATCTGTACCTATTCTTTCATTTTCTGTCTCACTGGCAAACACATGCAACAAGAAAAACTCATGCAAAAGAGGTATCTGCAGATCATTGCAATTACTGTTATCTGCCATATGGAGAGATGGCGTGAAGGGATGTTCTTTGCTTCTGCTTGCTGGAATGCTAGAGGAATTTAAATGTGAAATTAGCAATTCATTCACTCTTCAGCAGCTCTTTGACCTTTTCTGTTTAACTCCTAGGTCTGAAAAGGACATCATACAACAAATACTTTTAAAAGACTGTATACTGTATTTTAGAGTGATAGTTTATGTCCAGTGAAGTAATACCATTGAATTTCAAGTAAAGAAGTGTTATAATTAGATAATAATAACAAATAAAACTGTGATTTAGTCTAGGTTTTCAGCTTGTATTAAAGAAGAAATATATGAATTCAGAGTTGATTTTTTATATCAAAATGCATATTTGAAAACAAAACAAAAATGAAAAATTTTTTTAAATTCATATTTGATTTTTATAAATTGGTTTTTAAAAGCCATCCAGTGAAAGAGGTAGCCAACATATTTGCATTCTGCTTATAGAAGTTTATGAAGTAACAGTGTCAGTCTTTATTAGTGACTATAGGAACAGTTATTTCTGCAACAACTAGTTGTTCCTTGAACATTGTTCTCTCAATTTCACAGGTTATGTTGATAGTGTATGTGCAATGAGTAAGAAGTATGTTTCAGGTGATTTCACTGAATAGAGTTTCCTAATTGAGGTTTATACCCCAGCTGGCAATTTCCTAGGTTTGTCTGCTGAAACTTTGGTCTTCTCGTGAAGCTGTAAGCTAGGTGGGTAGAGTTCAGCTCCACTGCAGCATGGAGAAAATGTGTGGCCGCTTGGATGGACACTTTTCAAAATAAAACTATTTTAAAATTTTTACCTCTTGGCTTAGAGCTTTGGTGTATATTCATCAGGGACAAAATGACAGTTTGAAGCATTTTTTTAGTTTTAAATAAAATGCCTATATGAAAGCATGATTAGGCTGGACATGGTAGCTCATGCCTGTAATGCCAGTGCTTTGGCAGGCCGAGGTGGGCAGATCGCTTAAGGTCAGGAGTTCAAGACCAGCCTGGCCAACATCGTGAAACCCCTTCTCTACTAAAAATATTAAAATTAGCCGGGCGTGGTGACAGGTGCCTGTAATCCCAACTACTCAGGAGGCTGAGGCAGAATAGCTTGAACCTGGGAGGGAGAGGTTGCAGTGAGCTAAGATTGTGTCACTGCACTCCAGCCTGGGTGATGAGCAAGACTTATCTCACCAAAAAAAAAAAAAAAAAAAAAAGAAAGCACTGATTAAATATTCATATAGAGTTTCCACTTAAAGGTGGAGACTGACTTAACCTTTGAATTATTTTCCTATAACTGAATTATATAACCTATGCAGATGATTGTTATCTTTTTTTTCCTTCTTGTAGCTTGTAGAAACTTCATTAAAAGGAGAAATTGCCTTTGATCCCAGAAGCGCCTATTATTTGTGGTTTGTGATGGATTTTTGTGACGGAGGAGATATGAATGAGTATCTGTTGTCCAGGAAACCCAATCGTAAAACTAACACCAGCTTCATGCTTCAGCTGAGCAGTGCCCTGGCTTTCTTGCATAAAAACCAGATCATCCATCGTGATCTTAAGCCTGATAACATCCTGATTTCTCAAACCAGGTTGGATACCAGTGACTTGGAACCTACACTCAAAGTGGCCGATTTTGGTCTAAGTAAAGTTTGTTCAGCCTCTGGGCAGAACCCAGAAGAACCTGTCAGTGTAAACAAGTGTTTCCTTTCCACAGCATGTGGAACAGATTTTTACATGGCCCCTGAAGTTTGGGAAGGACATTACACAGCAAAAGCTGACATCTTTGCTCTGGGGATTATCATCTGGGCAATGCTGGAAAGGATCACATTCATAGACACAGAGACAAAGAAAGAACTCTTGGGGAGTTATGTGAAACAAGGAACTGAGATTGTGCCTGTTGGGGAGGCACTTCTGGAAAATCCCAAAATGGAACTTCTCATTCCTGTGAAGAAAAAGTCCATGAATGGGCGAATGAAACAACTTATTAAGGAAATGCTGGCTGCAAACCCTCAGGATCGTCCAGATGCTTTTGAACTAGAACTCAGATTAGTACAAATCGCATTTAAAGATAGCAGCTGGGAAACGTGACACACATTATTTGCAAATATTGTGGATGATATGCTGCTTCTGTTTAACAGTGATGCAACATTATGTGGCTGAAAAAGAATATAAAAAGCTAGACTCCACCTTCTAAGGGTTTAGATTTTTTGGGATTTTTTTTTTCCTCATTTTTCTTAAATCCAAGTTGGCCGTTTTATTAGTATGTTTCAAATGTGTATTACCAATGTGGGTGTAAATTTTTAAAAAATGATTATTGGTAGAAGTTTGGCAGGAAAATTCTCTAAGAGCCAAGAAGAGACGAGAGTCCAGTTTTCTGGAAATAATGTCTCTTAAGTATTTTAGACATTCCTTGTCAGTATTAGGAATTTCCATGGGAGAAGAGGTTTGCATGCTGGTAATGCAACCTTTGAAACTTTGTAAAGGAAGCATATATGTATATATTTATGTATATGTAAGTATGTGAATGTGTGCATTTTGCATTCCATATGAAAAAAAAATGCCACGTCTGTTTAAATTATTTGATGTAGGTTTGGGTTTTTGAGATTTGCTGGTGAAAGCAGTGATGAAAAATAAACCTTCCCTCATCTTCCTACTCTTCCCCCTCCCTCTTATGAAATCATATTAATTTTTTTTTTTGTAATATACAGCTTTTTTTTTTTAAAGGCATCATTTTGGAGGATCTAAAATTGTCTGGTAAAACATAAATGAGATTAAGTGATCCAAAGCTGCTGAAGTATGTTTGAGCTCTCCAGTGCCCTATAGCTGCAAGAGTTGAATTAGTCATGCAGTCATATGGTAACAAGTTGGCAAGGACATTGGTGATTCAGTCCTACCTTCTTTAGGTAACTGAGCATTTAATTAACCAACTAAACCACTGCATTGGGATGTTTGCACTTGAACTTCTACAGTCTGACATAAATCCGAATACAGAATTGTTCTGTTTCTGAAAACTTTGCTATGTATGAACTGTAATACTTGATATGTTTTTGGTTTCAAGACTTTGTCTAAGCCTCATTATACTGAAGTTGAAGAAACCAAATGAGCTCTCCCCTCACATTGCCTGCCCTGATATGGTCACTTGTTGAGTC